TATCATAGACCTACACGTGGACAAACGGATACCGTCCTTCTACTGGTAAAGCACGGCGTTCAGCATGATATTCTGACTAGCCGAAGCTTGGACGACTCTTGGTGCATGAGAGCCCTAGTTTTCCTGGAATATTGGCGTCATCGCCGCGGACAATCCCTTCTGTTCGACCTTGAAATGTCCCAATCTAACAAACTAATCTTTAGTCTGGCGCTCCATATTCCACTAGTTTGCGTTGGCAGCCCCTTACGTTAAACTCATCTGGTTGACTGTAGTGTCCCTCTGCCACAGCATAACCATCATCATCCTCACGATCGCAGCCACGGCGTAATGAGATGTATCGTCGTAATTGAGGAGTGTTTAATTTAATTAAACTGACAAGGCCATGTGCGCATCCACTCTATGCATACCACCCTCCACCGCCCTACCATCCACGTGTATTTTATCTACACCTACGCAGCCACGGCGTAATGAGATGTATCGTCGTAATTGAGGAGTGTGATGTTTAATTAAACTGACAAGGCCATGTGCGCATCCACTCTATGCATACCACCCTCCTCCGCCCTACCATCCACGTGTATTTTAGACAATCTACACCTACCTACCTATACTCTTGTTAATTACTCTCCCTAATGAGCTTTGCGCATGACTTGTTTGGTCGTACACACGTGTGTTTGGGTGTGTGTAGTGCGGGGAAGTCTTTTTGCATGATGGTGTTATTTGCCCGAGTGGCCACAAGCTTAAGCTTCTTGAGTTAATTAACGGTACAACTTTTTTCGGTCTACAACCACAAGTGACTTCGATCTACCTAATTATCCCGTAGTTATTGATGTAGCCGTCTTCTACTGGTGACAGTGATGATGGTGGTGGCTGTGCCCATTTCAACTCACTAATCTGTTTCGTGACAACCCTCCAGTTTGACCAACTTCGTTACCACCTTCTGTTTGGACTTCTTATGCGTATGACCTGGCCCTCAACTCCCTCGTTTTCCAAGCCATGTATGTGTATCCCACACGCCTGGTTAGTAGAACTGATGCCAACTAAGCTGGACTGAACACAAAAGCGTTCAGCTGTAGCACCCTTCCGGTGCCTAGCTGCCATACCACACGAAGGAGGCACGAGGGCTGGGATACTGCCAGGTTGCCCAAGCCTAGACAGAGGAAGTCGAGTGGCAGAGGTCGGGTTCGAACCACGGACCTTCCGGTTAGTGAATTCGCGCTCTAACCACTTGGGCCATCTCGCGTTTGGATGAGGGTGCGAATATGCTATCCTGCGAAATAATGAGGAGTCACAGTAGCGACCCATTGAGGACGATAGACGTGAGTGTAAATGTAGTGTAGTCGGGAGCTGAACCAAGTTGATGGGCATTGGAAGTCTCCACCAGGTTGAACAGACTCACCGAATGACCCTACCGAATTGCACCAGAGGAGGAATAAAAGACAATGCAGGTCGATCGAGATCTGCAGTACGAGTCACACTCTCAGGAGTTGGATATCCCACTAATACTAAAAAATTTCCCGGGAAACACAACACAAACAGAACAGTCCACAGACCTATGAAACTCACGATCAGCGTCTGGATTGCGTTTTCTCCATTGTGACCAGATCCAGCAGCCAAACATGGCACCCAGTTCATTGCCATTGAAGATTTTCCACTTTCCACTGAAAAACCAGATGTTCGAAGATGGTGATGAAATTAAAAAATGCCATATTAGGCGAGCCGCTTGTCAATAATCAACTTTATATGCGTATTTCACCTTTCACCTAACAGGAATAAGATATCAGAAAAGTATGCCACTAGAGACAATCGTAAGCATAGCAAGGGCGTGCACGCGAATTAGCAGACTGAAAACTGAGGAGACACTAAACGTCGGCAAGGAACCGAACAGATAAACGCAGTGTCCACGTTGACACGCGCTCACAGACGACCATGTGTATGTCATGGTTGTGAATTCGTGATCAACTTCGATGGCACACCTGAGCTAGTTTTGTTTAAGAAAAAGGAATTGACCAAAACGGAACAGTATAAAATGAGTACGGACCACCAAAACTCAAAAGTGTAAAGACGTACTTATGTTGTTTCTCAGCCACTGCCAACCTGTCCGCATCGGGGTCATTTGCCAAAATGACCGGAGAATTGGCTGAATCAGCGCGCGCAATCGCCATACTCAAAGCTGAACGACCCTCTTCTGGGTTCGGATATTTCACCGTGGGTATTTCAGGATCTGGAGTTATCTGACCAGAAGGCATTCGAAGAGCAGTCAAAGTTTAATCAACAGCAATCGATCATGTAGGACACGGAGACCAACCCAGTCACAGTACCAACCGACTCCCTGTGAGCCACATGTATCGTTTTAGAAAACATACAAAGCCAATGACCAAGTAACACCAGCAACGAAACCTGAGTCACCCGTTAACCCACTCCTTTTCGAAACCCAGAAATCTGCGAATGTATATATGCGAGCCGTAAAGATCACTTTCTTTGTCCATCACTTCAAAATTGTATTGGCTCCAAGACAGAAGTGTGCACTTCTCGAGACGTATAAATACTGCCTCTTCGCCACATGAAAAGACGAGTTCATTATAGCTGACTTGGGTAGCCTGATTCAATAACTTACCACTGCGAGGATGATCAAAACGGTAGAAATTAGCCTATACATGGTGTTGCGATATCTCGAATGTCGTACCGGCGGAAACATGGGGCGGATTGGTGCGACAATTCAGTTGAAGAAACATACCATGAAAGACGGAGCTGGCTGGGAGTCAAGCGAGTCTCCCGCGAAAACAAAGTGGGCGAGGAAATGAGTGTAGTTGTTGGATTTCGTTCAGTTTGGGTTCAAGTAGATTATCGTTATCATCATCATCATCGACAGCATGACATCAGTGTTCAACACCGATGCTTTACTCCCATTCAAGTAGAAAACATTGACGGAAACTCGGGGATAGCGCCTACCTGATCAGCCCAAAGAAGGGCGAGGCCGGTCATGGGCTATAAGAGTTCCCAGCAACCGCGTGAGTAGTGTGTTAGGTCTATGGAAAAACTGAATGCAAGCCATATCTCATGGGTTCGGGAGTTCGACAAATTGTCCGGTTCAGTGGGTGTCGAGCGCTAGTTTAGTACTCCAAAAGTCAGAAAGCCACTTCAATGTAACTGGTTTTGCCCGGCTTCTGTTTGTGTCGGCTAAGTGACTCGCCTGTCAGAGCTTTCCAGTTAGGCAGATGGGCATTTGAAACGTGCTGGACAACCTTTGATTATTTGCAGTTAATTTTGGGTTTTCCAGAATGTGTGTCAATACCACTCTCGTTTAAAGGGTCCTCCCTCCATGCAATTATTCCGGTGTCTCCACACCAAAGTGTTAGGACGGTCAGGTCCTACCGAACAACTCGACCTTTTGTAATATTTCATCCACATTGTATGTTCTCTCTGTTATAGCCAACTGAGCCGCAGCGCTATTTTCTTCTATCGGTTCATTCGCAATATAGCCTATCTTCATCCGGTGTACTTTGTCTTCTTCCCTGATATTTCTCACTAAAGTACTTAGACTATCAAACATGAAAGATTAAGTTCCATCAATCTCCTAAGTCACCCAGGTAACACACAGGTAGAACACAAAGATTCAAGTTCCGCTCTCACTAGAGCTCGTCGCCAGTGTATCACTCATATGTGAATATTTTGACCTTTTCAGACCTGGTCATATGAGCGTTTTTAGCGTGCGCTGTTGAACTACTGGTAACATGCCCGCCTCGCAGGTACGATGTCCGGGGCTAAAATCCCGGCACTGCAAACGAGCTTTAATAAACGCGAAATTGGAGTCGTGTTCTCGTTTTGGTGCGGACTCACCAGGACAATTGTGCCAGGAAATAGGGAAGATTGTTCAAACCACAGTGACGTAAATGAATACTCTAAAAACCCACTATCACACACAACGCACTACTCCGACGATCACATCCGGAAACCTGAAGGCGAGTTTTGCAAACGAGCACTGGTTTCTTCACCATGCCCAGACTGACGCTACAGCCTGGCACGTCATCTGATGTGAAGTCAAATATGGAAAATTTCTATCTGAATGCACTACATGGCATCCACTTCTGGGGTCACATTTGGATCAGTCTTCGCGAATCCGACCTTGCGGCACAAACACTCCAGAATATTTGTTCAGATGACCCTCTACCCCAAATGCCAGTCACTATAGTGCCAAGATATATTTCTGTTCTTCGTAACATCATCACTGTCTGCATCCTGCTCCACTGGCTGTATGGTTTCCTTGAGTTTTCGGGCCGTCTAGTATCCCTCTCTTAAGTGTTTACTTGCCTTAAATTGTCCCCTTGGCATCCAAATAATGTGATGCCGATGTCTGAAGGGTCGACTGTTTTTGCAACCAGATGAAGTTTGACTCGCTGGCAGCAGGGCATGACCCGTTCCACCCGTGATTTATTTCAGCTACTAGATCTGACGAGTAAAACCGCTGATGCCCACCGAGTGCATATTAGGACGCAGTTTATCCTAGAAGGGTGTGATTGCAGTTTGAGGTCTGAGATAGTGAAATCGTACAGCGATGGTAAATATCAGATCTGCATGATAATGCCCCCAACCATTTACTTATTGTACCCGCGTGCTTAATGATCACCTGTCAAGGCACAAAGGTTAGCTATTAAAACTACACCATTCACTCACTTGTTCAAGAACGGGCAACGGAGAAGCAAACCCGAAGCTGAGGCAGATACGTTTGACCGCGTCCCATCCAACTCCGTGCATAGCGGTGTAGGTAAACTGTATTTTACACTTTGGATTCTCTTCGCTACAAAAGGATAGTTCGGGCAAACGAGAATGGGTGGAAGAAAAAGCCAACTGATTTAGAGAAACTATAACTGGCATTAAAGTGTTCATGACTGGAGACCTGTGAAAGCTAACTAAATACGTCCAAACATTCAAACCTAACATCTAAGCCTAAGGAGAATGTTTGCCGAAATACAACTAGTACCCAGCATCCGCAGATTACATGATAAGGAACGCCAACCTAGGAGTACATAAGGTAGCTTACGGTGTGAAACAGACTCGTTCCTTCTGCAGCCGGCAGTATGTGTCAATTATCTCTGGCATTGGGTCACGGCACAGTGGATGCGTTTCGACGCCTTCGGTGTTCCAAGAGGCATCCTCGGGAGCCAAGCTCTCATTAATGCACTGAGAAATGCCTTTGTCATGGGGACTGATGATCTGTGACCCGTTGTCCCAATAGACCTGACACACCGCTGAGTAATACATCAATAGGGAACCTACTTTGTATCCATTGTCCTCTTTTGGATTATGTGAAGCCGTGATAACTACACCAAGACATGTTTTGAAATGTCGAACCCCGTAGGCCAATAATGGAGTTGGATAATTTTCACGAAATAGATAGACAAGACATCCACCATTTAAGAATATGTTGGCAAGGTATTTCGCCCACCTAAATTCAGTAGGATTACTGAGGAAGTGAGTACTTTTTGCTGTTATGCCGGGCATCGTACCCAATAATTATTCCGCTTTCCTTGAGATGAGGAAATTGGGTACGAGCATACTTCAGTAGACCCTGATGTCGGGGAAGTATCAAGGTTAAAGATTTTCGATTCTAAAGGTTACTTGAGTGGTTTGGATTATCGTCAAATCGTTCATCTGGCTGTACCCGGGACCCATGCGAGCCCGAAGACCTGGAAGACAGATAAATAAGAACTGGCGACTTTACCAGCCGTCCCGAATTCCATCCGGTTCAGTAACAATCCCTTTAGTTTTTCTACCTCACCAGCATTCTTCAACCGAACGATTTCTGAACGTGTCACCTCGTTCTATCGGAAGGGGCATAGAAAGATTTGCAATCTTACTTTATCCCACTTGAGCCATTCTTCAATTTTTTTCTCCACCTCGGGAACCATGGTTTGCATAGCAAGGGACTAAAGAGCCCGGATTCGGCTAAACGGGGAAAAGAACGTGTTTTTGCGGAGAAAGGAACAAAAACGGATAGAAGAGTGCTGAAAGCCGCGAATGCGTTGCTGTGCGGTAATTGGCCACATGATAGACTCCTGTCGAAAAAATACGGTCCAACCTTACACAGGTATTCCTAGGGACTCAACCCCCAGCACTCGGTCACTAGGGATAAATACAGACAGGATCTGTATTATTATTCTGGGTCCTGTTTGCCTACCGATTTATACAATATTTTCAAAAACCAATGATTTACACTCCACAAACAACCAGCCTTCGTTTAATAGGCGCGCAAAGAACCGACACCATGGATTTACTGATGTTGCTGTTAACATTTCCAGGATTGTGGAATATTATTTGTGAAATCAAGGACCGCATGTCTATCCATAGCTCGAGTCATGGGCTAGGGACAGGGTCTCCGAACTTCATGTGGTTCAAAAGGCTCAAGGTGGGCGAGATGGCCCAGTGGTTAGAGCGTGAGTTTACTGACCGGAATGTCCGACCTCTATCTTTCGACTTTTGCTGTCTAGGCTTGGGCAACCTGACACAATCCTAGCTCTCGTTTTTCCTTCTGGTGGCATGGCAGTAAGGCACCAAAAGGGTTCTACAGCTGAATGATTCTTTCGAGGTGAGGTACCTCAACCAAACTCACTTCCTCGGGCTGCACAACCGGGAAGTATAAGTTCTTTGTCCACCTGTGTCCCTCCCCAACCCCCTCCCACCGCAGAAGCAAACGTCATTGGGTCACTCGACTGTCAGTAATCTGACCGATGGGTCCTGTGCACGAAATCCAATCTACATAGGCGCTTGCAAGGTCCGTACTCTGTGCCAAATTGACAAATAGGCAATGCTGGCCGAGACCTTATACTCCTTTAAAATGGATGTATTCTGTGTCTTTGAAACACGCACACAAAGACCCAAGCGTGGTTATACATCCATAAGCGCAAACGACTAACTAAGCTCTTCCAGATTTCTCCCTCCGTGTCCAGTGATCCAGAAGGGATGATTGGTGGAATATATAGTGCGGGAGTTGCACTCAACCCCAGAGTTGAACGTACTCTGCTGGATTGGATCCCAGTGAACAGTTCTATTTGCGACGTCCGGTTATCCAGTTCAATCAAATTCAATGGGTCGACGTAAAAAGCGGTGTCTATTTGCATTGTCAGTTTATGCTCCAACGGACTGCAGTTCTGATGCTGAGAGGGATACTTTCTATCAAGAGTTATCCAGGCTCATTCATCAAGCAAGGAGCACCGACATTTCGATCTTTGCGGGCGATATGAATACCCAAGTCGGTAGTCTGAGCTCCTTGGAATCACATTTGGGTGGTCGAATCAGAGTCGATATTCGTCACACAGACAACGGATAGCGACTCCTTCAGTTGTGTGCTGATCACGAACTGTTTCTGGTTAGTACAAACGTTCGTAGTAAAGGCTCGTACCGCGTAATCTGGTGGTCGTCAGGCACAAATAAACAATGGACCCAGCTGGATCGCATGACCACCAACCACCAGTAGAGAGTCAAAAGTTGAAACTGCCGTTCTTTCTGGGGCATGCACCTTGACTTCGATCACATCGTCAAGCAAGAACGTTCAATAGTTCGCTCCCATTCAGGCCATAGCAAGTTAGCAATAAACATTCCACTTCACCACTACTACCATACCTCAGCAGTATCGATATGAACTAGCTAAAACTACCCTACTATAGATGAACACCACTGATAGCGAGCACGTGGATGAAGCATGGCCGATTGTGAAAAGAGCAGTTAGCGGCGCCCGATACTGTCTGCCCAACTGCTCCGATACAAACGAATGAACACTGCATATCGATGAGATCGCAAGCACTGCTGGCGCCAGGAAATATAAACTAGCAGGCAACGAGCACGACAACGTAGGTACACACCTCATACGGCAAATGGTGAAAAGCTTATGTAAAGGCCAAGAGCTTTGCTGGATATTGAAAGCTCGAAGGATGGCTACGGGGTCGCTACATGAAGTAGTCGTGCTCTGTCAACTGATACGGTCAATTGGTACTAGGGCAGCAACGGTCAGTGAAACGATAGGTAAAAAAAGACGGTCCATTAATTCACTCGCAAAATCGCAGATTAAAATGATGGACCGAGCGCTTCAGAACACGGTTCAGATAGTCTCTTGCTACATATCCTCTAGAGATGGTGCATAAGGGCGAATAAATTGTAAACCTTACTATACACTCAGAAGAAATAAAGTACAAAATATTTCTGATGAAACATGGGAAGGCATCAGGAAGAGACGGTACCCATCCAGCCTTCTTCAAAGAAGGCAGAAAATCCCTGGTAATCCATCTGACAAAGCTCATTCGTGCGACATGGAGTGGAGAAAGTGCCCGCGGAGTGGGGCAGGTCTAAAGTTATTCCTGTGTTCACAGAGGATACTGTGAAAAGCACCGCAGTATTAACCTAGTAGCGGTAGTATTG